CTGCCCAGGAAGCTATTTATTAGACAACTCACTCTTCCTACAACTGAAAATATTTTGTCTGACAGGTAATTGCCATTCTTAAAAGCTAGAAATAAACACTTACTTACCTATTTATAAATAAACAAAATCAGCAATCATAGGTGTCCTTACCTCTTTTCCTTTGTATTTCCGGAATTCATACTGAGAGCTTTCCACACCGTGGTTTTAGGCATTTCATCAGAAATATTAATCTCAGAGGGGTCACATCTGAAATCAATGTTTAGGATAGTAATTTTCAGACATAAAAATAATATTCATATTTTAATGTGTCATGGCCACCGTCCCCCACTAGGAGAGTAGATCTGAAGGAACCCAGCCAACAGCCCTCAGGAGTGCCAAGGAGTTGACTGTCCCAGCTGCTCCACACGAGAAAGATGAACAGTTTCCTCCTATGAGATGGATAGCTTCAGAAACCTGCTAGAGGGTCAGCTCTGAGTGGGTTTCCAGCTTATTACGAACTCAGTGGTAATGAGCTGAATTGGGTTGGAACCAAAGGCCATAGGCCTAAGGGACAATTTAAAGCCAAACAGTCGTAGTGAAGAATCACAAGCTGGAATCCAGGGCCTTAGTCTCCCTGAGTTTTCTGAAGCTTTCCATAAGCCAAACTGCCTCCTTCTAAGAGGCTAAGACGAGAAAGCTGCATCGTGTTAGAGAAAAAAATATTATTTCTACTTTGCTGAGAGAGGGTTCAAATCCTATAGCTCCTTCAATGGCAACTTGTAGAAAGTTTTATTAAGAAGCAAAGAATAGACATTTGATTTCCCACTCAGTCTGTATCACAATCAGTTCAATGACTCAGCAGTATATTTTCTAGAATCTGGATGACCCAGATCTTGCTTTCCTTCCTCCTTGTCCCCTCTTGACTTTAAGGCTTTCTTACAGCCTGTGAAATAAGACACCAAGAGTGAAATGGCAAATGGAATCAATTTAGCTTCCTGTGATTTGTGATGAGCAAGAGGTTTGGTAGAGAAAAGAGGTAAAAACCACTTTTATCAGAAGTAAGGGATTTCTATCATCCCAGTTCAGTTTCTCTTTGTCTCCCAAGACTATAAAACCCACAATTCCTTTTTGTCTAGTTGATTCCAGCTCCCAACAACCCATAGCACACAGGAGAACTGCCCCACGGAATTTCCAAGGCTTTTTTTTTTTTAAAGTATAAACTTTAAAGGGAGCTCTGGTGGCCTAGTGGCAAGAAGCTGCACTGCAATCCCAGAGACGCATGGTTCGAATCCACCAGATGCTCTGCCAGGAAAGAAGGGACAATCTCCTCCTACACCAGTCAGATCTGATTTGACGGTACACACACACACACACACAAATAATAGTAATAAAATTAAAAAAAATATAAACTTTAAAAAAATACATAAACTTTTTCTTTTATACTGGTTTAGTTACAAAGTTCATATACATTGTTTTTCCACACTGGCTCTTTCTCATTTTCTTAACCCAACCCACCCATCAAATTGTGCAACACTATGATTACGCCCCTCCACCCATCGTCACCCTTGTGCTCCCCCTTCCCCCTAAGATCCTCATACACATTTTACTAGTTAAGGCTGTTGCCTTTATGGGAGTAGACTGTTAAATCTCGCCCATGTGGAACAACTGATGGATTTAAAACACTGGTCTTTCATTTAGCAATCAAGCACTTAAACACTGCATCACCAGGGCTCCTTCCCAGGACTATTGCTATGAATTGGGTTGAATGAGCTGTCTCTTCTATCCCCAAAGGCTTGCTCAAATGTGGGATAAGGACCATAGTTTAATCACCTTTGGAAGGTGGAAGAGAAGGGCTGAGGGGGCACTGGTTTGAGAAGAAAGATTAGGGCTTAAATCATAATTTTTCTACTTAGCACATATAATCTTGAACCACCTAAAACCCTCTAAGCCTCATTTCCCTCACTTATTAAATGTGGAAAGTGAGCCCTAAATGAGGAAGTTCTTGCAAAGGTTGAATGAGATTACATAAGTAAACCTTGTAGTACAGTGTTGCACAGAGGAAGTGCTCGGTATATTTATGTTGGCTTCCTAAGCTCTGTTCCCCTTGGAACTCTATGCATGATCCCGTACCTGGTACACAGTAGCCAATTCACTAAACCATAAGAGGAAAGGATGTTTTAATGGGATGGGGTGAGGATGGGAAGCTCAATGTTTGGTTCTTTACACCAGCAAATGTTTTTCTGATCCCGACTCACTCCAACACAATGCCAGAACATTTATATAATAACTAAAACTCTAAACTCTTGGGTGTTTGCAAATTTTACCTGAAACTGTTGTTCTTTCCAGGGCTACTTAATAACTTCCTGCTCTCTAAGGGGAATTTGTCTCCCCCTAGTTCTAACATTTTCTCAGCCTCCTGAAAGAAAAGAAGACATTATTATATCTTGGACCAAAATAACACATTCATTCCAGCAAGCCATTCTCCTTCCACTATCACAATTATGGCACCTAGCTTTCTCGTATGTTTATTCAAATGAGTAGGATTATATAATTTCATAAATTTGGCTATTTTTTAAAAAGTCAATCAGAAAGTTGTACCTATGAAATGGTATTGATTTAAAAAAAGAAGAATGTAAATCTAATTAATTCTCTAGAGCCACTGATCAATTTACTGGAATACAGGGGCAGAGGAACATGTTGCATAATGCTAAGAAACACATCCAGCAAAAACCAAGTCAAGAAGGAAAAAAAACCAAACAAACTGGTGAGAAATGGTAGAAATATATTATCCAAGCAATACAGAACTTTGTTTATTGTCATGTACTGTTGAGTCGCCTCCAACTCATAGCAACCCTAGGATCTAATTTCAATTTGTTAAACGTAATAATGCAATTGGGGGTGTATAAAGTGAACCATAACAACAGAGAGGCACCAGATCCTTAGATCAACTATATAATGTCAGAAAAGCAGCATTGGCTAGAAAGAAGGAAAAAAAATAGGGCTGAAGGATTAATTAAAACGAAATTCATAAGAATGAACTGAGAAGAGAGCAGCTACATGAATGGTTGAAAGTAAACTTTCACTCAAATCACAATTAAAAAAAACAATTGAGGAAAAATGAATGTGGATGCTTCCTTCTACTTTTGTATATATTTGAAATATTCCATAATAATGTTTTCCTAAAATAGAATAATTCCACTAATTTAAAGAAAATAATTACAAAAGAAAAATGCATAAAGATGTTTAAAATATTAATAATATTAAACCAATTGTTCAGGCCAAACATCTTTGCTTTCTAATACCCAAACTTTCATGACCTTTCTCAGTCCTATTTTCAAAGTCAGTCCCAAATTCAGCCACACTCACCCCTTATCACTTTGATCATCTCTTGCCTGAACAATTGGAAATATGAGAATTGCCTAAGTAGTCTCTTTGCTATCCTCTCCTTTCTTCCCTTTAGCCATGCTTGCTGTCTCACAGTGTTCCTCAGCCCACCAAGCTTCAAGGGCTTGCATTAGGTGTTGGCTTGGAATGTTTTTATTTTCTGATACCTTGCCTTTCACTTTATTCAGAACCTTATTTAGATGTCTCCTCAGAGGAATTATCCTTGATTACCCTAAATAAATTAAAAATAAATTGCCATTCTATTCATTTAACCTGCTTTTTTTCTTCTTACAACTTACCACCATCACCAAACTATCTATCTATCATCTATGTTTGTTTATAGTGTTTTTGCCTCATGAGAGTATAAGTTCCATGAGTCCAAGGCCTTTGTCTATCTTGTATACAAGCCTAGAACATTGACCAGATCAAGTCGCCATTCAATAAATATTTGTGGAAGGAAGAAATGAGGAAATCCTTTACAATCTCACCATATACTGAGAACATCAAGTCAGGACTTAATCTATTTTTTTCCAATTTTTTTTTCTAATGTGTGTGTATGTAAAATTGACATTTTTGCTGTACATTCTATTTTGTATCATATAATCTTTTGACATACAATGGCATAAACACCATCATCTGTCATTAAACATTCTTGAAAATTTTATTTTTAAGTTGTTGCACATTACTCATTGTAATATACAAAAATATAGTTTCCCTTTTTGTCATTTTATATAACAGTATAATTAAAATCCTTTGACCACATTGCTGATTATACCCTTTGAATAAACAAAAAAAAAATTAGAGTGTATGGGCCAAAGGAAATTTTCAAGACTACTGTTAAACTGCTCTCTAAAAAGATTATCCAACTTATACTCCCACTTCCAGAGGATGAAAAAGCCCATTTCAATCAGTCTTGCCAACACTGGTTATTTTTATCTTTTGAAAAATCTTTACCAATTTGAAAAGTGGAAAAAAGTGGTCTTCTTATTTACATGTTCATTTCTTTGATTATTTAATAGGAATAATAAACTAGCTATTTGTACTTCATCTTTTGTAAATTATTTTTAACTCTTTTTCATTTTATTGCATTTTTATCTTTTTAATAAAATTATTTTTAAAGCTATTAACTTAGGTCATTTTGTCTGCTATTATAGAGTTTTTTGATGCCTGAAAACTTTATTTTTGCATATTGATTTTATCAATCTTTAAGATTTCTTTTCTTGTTTTTGTGCATACAAGTATTATTATTAAACCTGATTTGATAATACAGTGTTTTTAAAAGTCTAGATTTTAGAAAAAATCTTTTTAAAAGTCCAGAATAAGAGGTGCATAGCAAAGTGGACTTGGGGGCAAGGGGGTGGGAGGAAATTTAGCAACAATGAAAGAATCTTTTTAAAAAGAAAAGTGAACTGGGGAGGGGGGAGGGAGGAAAATGTGCAACAATGAATGAATGGAAATCCAAGTTTGCTGTAAACTTTTATTAAAATGTCAGTTTAAAAAAATAGTAACAAAAAATTCCTCTGGCAAGAATTTAATGTTAAGGTCTTTCTTAGGGTCTTGATATCTTTATATTCATATTATACAATAAACTATACACTTAATGAAGGGGGAAAAAAACCCCAAACAAAAACCAACCATTTCAAAAGACATTAATTAAAACATTAATTATATTTGGAAACACTTCTCTATTCATTAATTTATTGTCCTGGTATGTTTGTTTTGGTAAACTCCATTTTTTGCAAGTAGAGGCCATTTACAGATAGTTCATGATGTAGACAGCAAAATGCCAAGTAGGAGAAATGGGAAAGGACAAAAAGTCCAATGCATGTTATCTTTGCATGATGCAAACCACAGCACCATTTGCAATTAGATAGATAATGAATACTCTGCAAAAGGGTATTTGTCCAACTTGACCTTTTGGAAGGACATAAACCATCAAATCTGATTTAAGCGAAGACTCAGTCATTCATATCCTAGGTGTGATACTGGCTGAGTAGACTGTCAATAAAGGTAAAAACTATTGGTTATCAAATAAGAGAATCTGCAGGGATAAGTGTCCTCCGTGCCATTCTCAGCTGAGAACATCTTTGGGATGATCTTCCTAATTCCTAACTATAACCCCTGAGATTCCAGACATGCTGACTTGTCACAGAGCCCTTCCTATGTTCTGTAATTTAAAGCTTCCTCAAAGTGTACAGGTGGTGCAAAGACTATGACCTCTTCCTCCTTGGCCTTCTTTTTGGCATCATCCAACTTCTTCTTTTTGCTTTCAGGCATGAGATCGTCTAACCAGCTCAGCTCTCTCTTAGAGAAACAGAGATCCATGACTTTTCTGACAAAGACTAAGGCCAAAACCTGAAGAAAAAAGAAAGACAGAAAGTAGGTTAAAGAGGCTATTTTCCTCCTGAATTTAGAGCAAATTTCTTTCCTGTGTTTATCTTCACAGTAAACCCCAACATTCTAAGCACATCAAATTAATAATAATCATAGTAAGCTCCCAACTTGAGATTGGCACAGGACAGAACAGAGTTTAGGGCTGTTGTACACAGGGTCGCTATGAGTCGCAAGCGACTCGACAGCACATAACAACAACAACGACAAGCTCCCAACTACTGACTCTCCTTACAAGTAAGGGCTTCAATATATTTATCTGTCATCCTAACAAGTCTGCACCTTAGAAGCTAATTTCTTTCTCTCAGTGAGGTGAGAAACCCTTCATCTGCTAAATGACCCTAACAACTGTGTTCCCTTGGCTTGGGTTCAGTGGAGAGGTACAGAGGTGCACAGCCTCCACAGCAGTACTGCTCTGGGAGGACCAGCCAAATCTCATGCAAATGCTGTGCTTTGTCATGGGATGAAGGGACCTTGAAGAACCATATTTATTTCCATTGTTATTTTGTTTGTCCTCCCTTTTCACTCAGCAAAAGCAAAAACTGAAAAACACCTTGCTTTGTTTGTGTCTGTATCATGCATCATTGGTGCTTTTAGCCTCTGCCCTCTGGCCTGGCTTGATGTTCATTTTACAGATGAGGAAACTGAGACCCAGGGAGAGGAAATTACTTCCTTACTATCCGACAGCTCATTTCTTCAATAGGTAGGACCTTTCTTCAGGGAACAGTCAGGGTATTTTAGTTGTCATTCCACTTTCATCTCATGTGGGTCATTTTAGCCAAAGGGGAACCAAGAATAAGCTGTTTGCCGAAGCTCCATGTGATGTCTGGATAAAACTGAGACAAATTAGGTTTAGGAAATCCTACCATATTTCCCACTAATTTTAATGACTTTTTTCCTAATAAATTAAAAATTTAGTAGGATTCCTTCTAAACATTCCCAGGAACTTGCTTTTTCTTTAATTATTCAGTCCCTGAGCATAATACCCAAATGTTAAGTTCCAAGTTAGTAGGATCCCTTCTACATATCCCCAGGAATTTGTTATTTCTTTAATCATGTAGCTCCCGAGCTAAATACCGAAATGTAGAGCCCTACCTATATTTTGGTAACATTGATAAATATGTCAGTAGAGTGTGAATTTGAAGAATTAATGAAAATGAAGCCCTTATAGTCTCCACACTCTTCAATATTCTCTTAAGCCAGAGTTCAAGAAGTACCTAAATAACCTTTACCCTCACTGTCATGCCTGTCTAAAAGGCTTCTTTAGGGTAAATTTCCCTGAATTCTCAGCAGCCTGATGAAACAGGTCTGTTAGAGAAGATGGCAAGAATTTCATCATCATAAAAAAAAAATAAAAATTCACCATCACCCTGAGATTTAGTAAAGACTTTGTCTTTCACTTACTGGATCACTCGCAGTTCAGCTTCCCTAGTCTTTTTTTACAAAGTGTTTGTTTCAGGGAGAAAAGAGATAAAAGATGTCCCCGTCACTTATTAATTCTAACGCAATTTCTTGGTGGTTTAGAAAGTGGATTTCACCATTTTAGACAATTCTAGTTTCAAGATATCCTCAATTGAGGTCTTAACTGTTTTGAAGTAATACACAAATTATTGCAATATCTTTTCCACATCAGATTATCTGAGAAAATATCTGATTGTCTTGAAAAATAAACATAGCAAACTTCTACATGTCTGTATCAAAACCTCTAGGTCCCAAAGAAAATGGTGCTGTTGTTCCTGCAAAGACAAAAACAATAATCAAAATCCTTACCATCATTGGAAAGACGATGGCGGCTGGAGAGGCTTTGATGACCCAAAGGAGGACAAGGCAGGTCAGCTGGATGAGGGTGAAGAGATGAACTTTGCGTAGTGGCACGTGACGTAAATAAATAAAGTCTGGCTGGTGCTTTGCAGGCATCCCAAAGAGCTTCAGACGGTCGAAGAACTGAAAGAGGGAAGCAACATGTATTATTAAGAGAACTTTTAATTCAGAAGTCTAATCTAGTCTATCTTCCACTATGAAAAGCAGTAAATGGTTTTTTCTACTGGACAGAAAGAGAGATTGATGCTCAGAGGGATCATGTAATTTGACTGAGGATGGTAAGAATCACAGTCAGCATTTTAATCCATCTTTTCTAATTATAGGTTTCAAGTTCTTTCCCCTATCTTGTTCTTTGGCCCCTGAGAGGTCTTTCTTAGACTCAGACTCAACCCATTCCTAGCAGACGCTCCAGTGGGTTTTGAGAGGCTGTAAGCTGCATGACTGCTGTCTTTCTCTCTTGGAGCTGCTGGTGGATTCAAACCACCAGCGAGGCATGTTAGCAAGGAATAAAATAAGCCAATTAATTGCACATATCTTCTTATTATCCAAATCAAATATTTTATTTGTTCTTTGAGGATTTGAGAGCTCTTTACTGATTATTTATAGTGAAAAGATCAAAGACATCTCCTAGCATTCTGGATATAGAAAAATATGATCACCTTTATGTCCTAAAAAAGAAAACAGAGACACAGGGAGGTTAAATAAGCTTCCCAAGGTCATATCTAAAGTCAGTGGGATAAAAAGGAATGACCCTGGATATTCCATAAAAACCAAAAGGAATTAATAGTCAATAAAAGAAGCAAGGGCATCATATTCTCTGAGGTACTCAAGTTAGTAGTGACAAACTTCTGATTTCCTCTCCTGGAGAGTCTCAGAAAGAGGAATGAGTTAATAAGTGGGAAAAGATAAAAAGATAAGAGTGTGACAGGAAGTGACATGTGCTGACCTGAGGAAATCCCTACTCCCTTAATCTCTTTATGCATCTTCAGAATTAAATGCACACCAACTAGCTCTGTCTCATTTGTTAAGAAGGAAGCTAATTAGGTCTTGATTAACCTTTCACACCCAAATTTACCAGCACCTAGGCAAAGCATCCATTTTTTGTCCACTCATTCAATTTACTACTATTATTAGTTGGTTCTGATTTAACCAACCACCAGGTTTCCAAAGCTATAAATCTTGTTGTTGTTGCTTGTTTGTTTGTTGTTTTGTATCATAGAGTCAGGACCAACCCGTAGCTGACTCTCCAGGGGGTTTTCAGAGTTAATCACATGGGACGAGAACGCCCATCCTTCTCCTGTGGAGCAGGTGGTGGCCTCACACCTTGTGCCACCAGAGCTCCCTAAGGTTATAAATGTTAATGGGAGGAGACTGCCCATCTTAATGGGAATGTGACTGTCTATCCTTCTCCCTCCGGGTCACTGGTAGATGTGAGCCACCATGAAACTCCTGGTCTCTGGTTAGTAGTGCAACACTTTATGAATTATGCCTTCAGAGCTCCTGCGGCTTTCTAAGCACCAATAATTGTCTATTAAAGTTTGGAACCATCTCATCAAGCCAGGCCTCCATGGGAGTCTCTGTGCCGTACATAACTGTATTTTGCTCATATTCAAAGAAATATGTAAAATACAAAACCAGAAAAAAATTTTCTCAAGAATTGGGAGTAAAAAAAAAAAAATTGGGTTTGTTGTACAACCAGAAGATAACATTGATAAAGGAATCTTCTAAAGATTCAATCCCTGTACACATCAAAAACTTTTTCCAGTAAGGTGAAAATAAGGTATAACCTGCTGACTGGGGGGAAAAAAACATTTGAATTTGACAATGACATTTCAGACAAGGGTCTCATAATGAAAGTTTACAGAACCCTACAGGGTCTCCAAAAGGAAAAAGCTAATAACCCAATCACAACATGGGCAAGAGACATGGACTTTTCAGAAAGGAATTCAGATGGCCTACAGGCACATGAATAAATGCTCAAAATCACTGGCAATCAAAAAGATGCAAATCATCATCTCACCCTAGTAGCAGTAACAAAGTTTTACAGGATGACAAGCAATAAATGTTGAAGACGGTGTGGAGAGATAAGAACTCTCATACACTGCTGGCGCGATTGTAAAATAGTACAACCACTCTGGAAGGCAGTTTGGTGTTTACTCAAAACGTGGAATACAGAAATTCCCTATGGCCCAGCTATTCCCCTGCTAGGAATATACCAAAAAAAAAATTAGAACTGAGACACAAATGGAGATCTGTACACCAATATTCATAGCAGTATTAGTCACAATAGCAAGAACATGGAAACAGCCCAAATGTCCATCAACAAATGAGAAACAGATGAGAAATTGTGGTACATTTACACAATTGAATACTATGCAGTACTAAGGATATATGATTTCATAAAATATTATATAACATGGGAGAAGCTGGAGAACATTATACTGTGTAAACTAAATCTTATAGGAACAATTATACATAAGATCATTATTATAAAAATAGAAGGATAATTAATGAGGTGTAGATAAAAGTCCAAAGGAAGAAGGAGGGTTGGGGAGCTGAAGGGGAGTAGATCACAGGGTCAACGGGTTTGGTGAGCAGAGGAAGGGGGTAAAGGAACTAGGATAGAACTACTGGGGATCTGAAAAGAGGAGATAAGAGTGGACACAGATCAATGGTGATTAATTTTATAAAACATTTTATGGGAGTGACTGAAACCAATGTACATGAATAAAACACAACAGATTTGGGTTTGTGTTTCCCTTGTGTTACCATCCCTCCCTGCCAGGACAAGAGAGCTGACAGTGAGAAGCCATTGTTACTACTGAGCCACACAGTACCTGAATTCCCTGTAGTGAAGAGACTCCCATGTAGAGGAAAACTCCATAGAGTACTGGCATTGGAATAAACTGGAGACAGAACAGAAGAACCAGAAATTACATTTTGTTTCATGCATAGCCCCCTTAAAGACAACATAAAAGGAGACACTGTCACAAAAATAGCTACTGAATGTGTTCATTGCTATTGCCTTTGCTTGATTTAAAAGAAGAAGCAAAAGCAGAAGTTCACAATGATAAAAACCATGTAATCCTGAGATAACCACACTGAAAAGCACACTCTTGATGTGGTTAAATCCTAGGTCTAACACCTTACCCTCCATCGGGCCTTTTTTCTTCCATGAAGATGGGCAAACACAGACAGGCAGGCAGATACAAACACACAAGCACGTCTCTATTTCAGAACTTTCATATGTTTTATAATCATACAACCATCTCTTTAAGGATTTGATGTACTTGAAAATAAATTTTTAAAGTTTTCTTGTTTATTGACCATATGTTGTCAGAGAGGGCCTAATTTTTTAGAGGAAACGGTAATTTTATATATATAAATAACAAGTATAACTTTCCCATCTGTCAGCTTAAGTAATCATCACAGCAGCACCAAAAAGCAGAGAAATGAGGCCTATAAAATCAAGGTATGGCAAGTCTCAAAAATGGAGATCAAACTCGACTTGGTTTTTTACTGGCACTAAAGATTATTTCCAAACATAATTCCTTTCAGAATTAGAAAATCTCCCTTGCTTTTGATGTTGCTCAAACTCTAGAGTGAGTAGACCTCTCAATTTCGTGAAAACTTTGTAGAACTACAGAATATGTCCTAAAAGAGTCCTCTTGAGATGGTTACAAAAAGACCAGGTAATGGGGGGGGGGGTATGTGTGTGTGTGTGTGACACACACACACACACACACACCTCTCCCCTCCCTTCATGGTTATAAATCTAGACGAGTGGCAATCTTTGGTCTCCTCCAGTTGGTGCCAAAACCAGGGGTGGGAGAAGGAGTGGGACTAAGGGCAGAGATTGGGAAAGGGCAAGAGGTACAACAGAGGTGGAAAGGGGTTGGGACAGAAAGATGGATCAAAAATGTTTACCATCCCTTCCCATTACCGTCCTTCTCACCCAGGAAGCGCACTTGAAGTACAGACTACAGTGGTCCAAGAGTTGCCAAAAAGGAGAGAAGAGAATATGTTCCAGAATGGGTGAAGTTTAGAAATACAGCCAGGGAGCTTTCTTTTCCACCCCTATTTTCAGGTTCAGGGCTTTCTACTCATAAAATTGAAACTTTTTTTCATGTTCAAGGAATCTTCCATCTTTACAAAAACAAACAAAACAAAACACATCTCATGCCAGCCACTGCTCCTTTTTCTGTTGACACACTCAGCCCCTGGAACATGGCTTCTGTCCTGTCATTCCATGGAATCTGCTTTTGCCTTTACTCAGCCTTCATTTTTCTAGTCAACTCCACACAAATCTGTCCATGAAGCAACTCCCCTCAGTTTACTTTCCTGATACCACAACCTCCTCTTTCCCTCTTAGCTCTATGTTAATTCTTTCTGGGTCTTCTCTATTCAACCTTTTATAGCCACTCATGTCCTTGAGTAATCCCATCTACTTCCTTGGCTCTCCATAAAACATATATGCTGTTGACTCTCAAATTTGAATCTTTAGTCTTGAACCCTCCTGCACCATCTTTTCTCAGATGTCTCCAGAGAGTTCACTCAAAATTCAATCAAATGTCACTTCTCATAAAAAAAAAATACCTTCCTCCTTCATTCAATCTTCTCCTCTTAACATATGTATTAAACCCCACTTAGATGATCAAGTCAGAAATGTAGGAGACACATTATTCTATTGTCTTCACCATTAGTTAACCACCAAGACTTCTGAGTCTACATCCAAGATATATAGAAGTCAGGACTCTTTATACTACTACCAGCTTGCTTATCCAAACCTTATCTTTATCATCTAGAGTGATCTTTTAAAAATACAAATTGGATCAAATACTTCTGCTAAAATCCTTCGAAGGTAACCTTTACTATAGTGGGCAAAGTCTTGCATGGCCCACCCTGACACAATCACTAATCTCATCACTCTGTACTCTTGTCCTCTTCACTCAGGCCCCTTAAACTATGTTGTTATTGTTACTGATGATGATGTGTACCATAAAGTTGGAACTGATTCATAGGTGACCCTTCAGTGGGTTTTCAGAAGCAGTTAATCACACAGGAGGAGATGGCCCATCCTTCTCCTGTGAAGCAGCTGGTGGACTAAACTGTGTTTATGATTGCAGTGCAGCTTCTTGTCACGGGGCCACCACAGCTCCCTATATGGCCCTGATATTTCCTAGCACACAGGGGCTCCTTCCCAATTTGAAGTGTGAGCAAACTGCTTTACTTTTCTTTCTCCCCACAATCTATATGACTGGCTCTCGCTCTTGTAAAATGCCATGTCCTTAAAGAGGCCTATTCTGATCACTTTAACCAAAATATCCAAACCAAAACTCACTTCTGTTGTTTGTTGAGTACTATTGAGCCAGAACTGACCCATAGCTGACCCTCCAATGGTTTTTTGGAGGCTGTAAATCACATAGGAGGAAATTTTCCATCTTTCTTCCACAGACCAGCTGTGGATTTGAGCTGCCTGCCTTTGAGTTGGCACAACTCCCTACTGACAAGGTCACCAAAGCTCTGTCTGAAATTGTTATTGTTGTTATATGTTGTCAAGTCGGAACTGACTCATAGCTGACCCACCAGAGAGTTCTCAGAGGCAGGAAGTAGCACAGGAGGAGATTGCCTGACTTTCTTCTGTGGAGTTGCTGGTGGGTGTGAACTGTGTGGCTTTGGGTTGGCAGTGTAACTTTTTGCCACTAAACCACCAGAGCTCCCTAACTAAATGGTACCCCTTAATTATCTGTAGGTAGAATCTCAGAGTAGTTCAAATGTTTAAGTGGTTAACTACTAATTGAAAGATTGGAAGTTCAAATCCAACCAGAGGTATCTTGGAAGATAATCTTGGTCATTTGCTTTATAAAGGTCAGAGTCATTCGAAGCATAGTTCTACTCAGAAACACACAGAGTCACCATGAGTCAGAAGTGTAGTTCATAGCCAGTTTTGCTGCTAACCCAATGGTTGTACATATCTAGCAGTCTGAATCCACCAGGGGCTCCTCAGGAGAAAGATGAGCAGTCTACTCCTATTTTAATTTACAGGCTTGGAAACCTACCATGAGTCAGAATCAACTTGACAAAGTTAAGTTTTTAATTTGGTTTTTAGTTTTTAGTTTAGTTTTGGTTTGATTATTATCTAACACCATAGAGTATTACAGATCTCCTTTATATTATTTAATCACATTGTAATGATCATATTTGTTTTTTAACTATACATTATATATCTTGCCCTATGAGAATGAACTCTTTGAGGACAGAGATTTGGATACAAGTCTGGTGTACCACTGTGTTCCAAACATCTAACAGAATGTCTAGCATAAATTAGGCACGTGATATTTGTTGAACAAGTCCATCAATAAATACCTTTAACACAGTCGTCATGAAGACTGAGCAACCCATCAGCACAAAGATCATAAGACCTGTCACTCTTTGCTCTCGGATGCCCAGGAACTTGGGCTGTTCTCCTGGAGCAGAGCACTCAGATTCCAGCTTGAGGCTATTCACATGTGTGATGGACAAAACAGTTGCAGCCACGAACCAAGGAAGACCCATGATGGAGCAGACACCCAGCATGATGGCTACCATCAGCAGGTCCAGGTGGTAGCCACAGCCTTTCTGTGGAGAAACAGAGTATCTGTCACCAACAGCAGGATGACTATAGAAAGGTACAGCACAGTGTGCTAGGTGTTTCAGGCCCATAGCAGGGTGTATATGTAAGAAGGAAGGGGTCCATGTATCTCAAAGGAGACTTGCAGTCCCTCTTGGTTAGGAGAGAACAGAGAAGGAAAAGGGAAACCTTAGTCTGTCCTGGACATGTCAATGCCCATTCTTTATCCAAGGGCTTCCAGATTTCACCCTGGATCTCAACATTCAAAAATCCATTTTTCCCTGTCAGAGAAGTCAAAGTCCAAGCCACATCTTGACTATTCTAAATAACAGGTACTACAGAAGTTGGAAATATATTTCCTTATTGGATTCCTACAACCTTTACCAGATTCAGATGTTGCCTATTCCGAATAAGGGAAAAATAGAGGTAGAAGATATGAAGTCTCTCACTAATAAAATATTGGAATTCACTCATCCTCCCCTAGGATCCCTGGGCTCAAAATTCAGGCTGGGAACTGTTTTAATAAATATCAAAGGAGAATACCTGCCTCTAATTGACAATAGCCTAGACCTTGATGTGAACCATAGGAAAACAAATTGTGTAGCTATGTAACTCAGAGCATGTGTCTATATAGGGATTATCAGAAAGTCTGCTCATCTGTCTCCCTTCAGGTCTGAGAAGAAAATAATGAAATTTTTTGCTATCATTCTGCTGTGCTCCACTTTAGGCTCTTCTCCAAATCAATTTTTGTCATGAAGGGAATAGAAACTTCTTATGAGTTCCTTCCATAACCTCTTTTTGCCAAATTCTACAATTCTTAGTCTAGATGCTGTTATTCTTTAAAATAAAATTAACAAGTTGCTGCTATTAGTCCTTCTAGGTCAGAACCTCTTGTTACCTTGAGCTTGTGTTCTTTCCTGTTAATGATGACAGCTGTGATCTGTTGGTCCATGAATATTAAGATTGTGCAGAGAAGAGCTGGGATAATTGCAGCAATTACAGTCCACCAGGGATTAGGGCCAATGGGACTAATAATCCACCCCCGATCATCCCTTGTTGGCTGAAGAACAAACAAACGAGGGATTATTTTTGTATTTTAAATCAGTTTAGGGACATTATATCAAGCTGAATCACAATATCCACATTTCAGTTTTGAGCTAGAATCTTCATATACACACACATATAAGTGCACATGTACATGTACATACATATATATACATACTTACATATATATATATATATGTATGTAAGGTTCAGATCAGAAAGAGAGAGATTGACTCTGTATGTCCATCCTCTGGCACAGTTAAACATCTATTATTAATTTTCTATATATGAATATATATATATATATATTCATTTCCTGTGGAAGGTGCTTCCTTCCCATCTATTCTCCAAACTTGTGTGCAGAGAAAGCAATTTTATCTCAACAGTAATCTTTTTTTAAAAAAAATTTAGACATTCAAATAGAAATGTAAATTTCTTCATGTTTCTCTTCTGGGTGGCTAGTTCACAGGCCCAAAAGGCCTCTCTGGTAATCCGATCTATCTGCAGCTCTATGAGAAGATAGACAGGCAAGGTTCCCTATGACTCACTCACAGCTTCTGAAAGGCAATGGAGGGTCAGCTCTGACTCAGTTCCAACTTGATGGCAATGAGACTTTTGTGGTTGGCTTTTATTGGTAGTGGGTTTTGGGTTTGGTATTTTGTTGGGGTTTTTTTGTTGTTGTTTGGTGGGGTTGGGGGAGGGTGAGAGTTCTCTTCCAGAAGCCATATTATAAGGAACTCATTTTTACTCATTAATAATAGTGCTAATTTTCAGATTGGATCTTAGAAGCTGAGGATCCACGTGGTATTAACAGAAACGAAGAAAGAAAATTTCTTCTCTGCTTCCTGAAAGCAAGATCTATCAAGTGCAGCATTTTCTTTGCCATTCTCCCATTTCTCTTTTTATCTTTCTCTGGTCTCCCAGATGCCTCTTCCAGATGTCCCAGAACTCAGTGCCTTCTGACTTCTCTTCAGCCCACTCATCAGGATACCTCCCCAAGGACTGAACAATGCTTCCAAATTACCTATTTTTGCATTAAAATCCATTCTTCCTGCAGGGATGACCTCATCTAGGCATTAGAAAGCTGACTGTGACCATTCACACAAAGGTGAGAGTTATTATATTTTTCAAAAGGGTGTTTATTAACCCATAAATTAATTTTTTATTTTTTGCTTCTGATGCGAATATTTTCCACCCAGCCCAGGTGAGTGAGCACGCAGGCCCAGGTGGCCCAGGAAGGAAAGTGGGGTGTGGGGCCTGCTGGAGAGGTGTTTCTCAGCGACCGACCCCTATAAGGGGCTTAACCCATAAATTTATAGGTGATGACATTTTAGCAAATTTGGTAAAATGAAATGTAAATTTTTCAGGCAATATGGGAAAAGGTATTTTTAACCAGAATTACTTCAGGGAGAAAGTGAAAGATTGGAAAGCAAAGCCAAAGGCCAGGTATACCGGGCATCTACAAGGCAGAGACTGCCTTCATTTTGTCTTCTCTCCAGCAACTTTAGCTTTTTATTTTGTGATTCCCAGCATCACCGAGTATGTCTAAGTTTCTCTCCTCATGTCAGAGGAATCTATGGGACTGAGCTCAGTTTTACCCCTTTCTAAATTTACTCAATTCATGACCACAAATTAAAGTAGATTTGGAGTTCTTACCACTGATCATGTGTCTTTTAGTATTATGTTGTTATATACTGTCAAGTCAGAACTAACTCACATATGACCCATCAGTGGTTTTTCAGAGGGAGTATACTGCATGGGAGAAGACTGTACATCTTTCTCCCACTGAGCCACTGATGGATTTGAATGATGGGCCTTTGGTTTGGCTCTGCAACTTCTTAATACTAAGCCACCAAAGCTAAAAAAAAATACCATAGATGCACTGTTGTTGGGTGCCATCAAGCTGACAATTCTTAGCAACTTTATGAACAACAAATCTGAACCTTGCCATACCCTACTTTATCTTCACAGCCTCTGATATACTCAAGCCCACTGTCACTGTCACTACATCAAGCCATCTTATTGAGTGTCTTCTTTTTCTCTAATGCTCAACTTTTCCCAGCATGCCATCTGTCTTTTTCTAAAAACTGCCCCCTTTTGACAACAGGCTTCCAGTATGTGGGATGAAGTTTCACCAACCTTGCCTCTAAAGAGTACCTAGTACCCTGATTATGCTTCTTCCAGACATATTTGTTTGTTTGTTGGCAGTCCATGGGATATTCAATACTCACTTATTCTTCTTTTGTCATTCTTATTCATTGTCCATCTTTCAAATGCTTAAGTAGTAACAGAAAATACCATTACTTGGATCATATGCACCTTTAAATTGACATCATTCATCTTTAGCACTCTGGATAGGTCCTTGAGAGCAGATTTTCTCAATGCAACACATCTTTGGATTTTGCTGTTATCAGGGGTATTTATTATGGATCCAAATAAAATTATATCATTGACCACTCCAGTATTTTTTCCATCTACCATGATGTTGTCTATTGGCTCAGTGGTGAGGATTTTTGTTTTCTTGTTATTGAGAAGTAATCCAAATTGAAGGCAAGACTCTTTATTCAGCAGCAAGAGTTTCATGACCTCTTTTATCAAGCCAGGTTGTATCACTGGCATAATTCAGGCTGTTGATGGGTCTTCCTCCAACCCTGATGCCACTCTCTTCTTCATACAGTCAACTTTCTTTAGTTATTTCCTCCACTTCCGTAATAGCTTGCCTCCAGAAACCCTGTGAACCTGGAGAGAGGATGAAAGGCACCCAAGTGTCGAGGTCTCTCCTTCATAGGGTCGCTATGAGTCGCCTGCAACTCGACGGCACTTAACAACAACAACAACATAAAGAAAGGATACAACTCAAATGCATAATTTTCCTGATTTTAAATCATGCAGTGTTCTCTCGTTCTATTCTAATGACTACTTATTTGTCTATGCATAAGTTCCACATGAGCACAATAAAGTATTCTGGGATTCCCATTCTTTTTAAAAAAAGAACACAAAATTCTTAAATTGTGATTTTAACAAAAGTTTACAGAAAAGTTAAATTTTATTCATTCACTGTTGCACATTTTACCCCCTCTCTCTTTTCCATCCCCCTCCTCCAGTTAATTTTATCCATATTTGTTTATTGTTGCACAGTTAACCTCCCCTCCCAACCACCCTCAGTTCTCTTTGCAACTTGCCTCTTATTCTGGGCTACTGTCATATGTTCTTCTTAATGTTAGCTATAATTTGTTACAATTTATTCAGATGCCTTTGCATAGTAAACCAACAACCATAAACATCTTTTGGGTATGCTCTTCTTTTCCTTGTCCATCCACAGTGATAGCCCTTGTTCCATGGCCTCTTCTGGATCCAGCTTAAATTTCTGGCAGTTCTCTTTTCCAGATGTTTTTAAATAATGTTCAGCAAGATTTTACCTGCATATGTTATTAATAATATTCTTTGATAATTTCTACACTCTGTTGCATCACTTTTTTTTTAACAGGAACATATATGGATTCATTTCCTAAATAACATGCCTCTGGAAATCCTGTGAACTTTGATAAGTGTCGATAGTTGTAGAGGAGTTTCAAGCCTTTTATTCATAGGGTCACTATGAGTGGTGCTCAACTCAAAGGCAATCAACAACAGTCAGTGAGCCAGGTAGCTTACAATGATTACAGGTTCACCACAACAAGATAGAGGTAAATAATCCAATTGAAAAATGGGCAAAGAATATGAACAAACACTTCACCAAAGAAGACATTCAGATGGCTAACAAGCACATGAAGAAATGTTCAAAATCCCTAGCTCTAAGAGAGATGCAAATCAAAACAACTATGAGATATCATCTCACCCTATTCAGAATAGCAAAATTTAACAGAACAGCAAGCAACAAATCCTGGCAAGGTTGTGGAGAAACTGGAACCCTTATTCACTGTTGGTGGGAGTGTAAAATGGTATAACCACTGTGGAAGGCAGCATGCCACTTTCTCAAAAAGTTGCAAATACAGATACCATTTGATCCAGCAATTCCAATATTGGGAATAAACCCCAAAGAGATCACAACTGATACCCAAGCAGATATATGCACACCCATGTTTATCATGGCCTTGTTCACAATAGCAAGGAGTTGGAAACAACCCAAGTGCTCATCAACAAACAAATGGATAGAGAAGCTGTGGTATATTCACACAATGGAATACTATGCTGCATTGAAACAAGGAACTCATGCAATAATTATTCAAAATGGGTGAGCCTGGAGAACATTATGCTGAGTGAAATATCTCAGGCACAAAAGGACAAATATTGTATGGTGACACAGCTGTAAAACAGGACTGACCTAGAGGTTGGGGGGAGACTGAGAAAGTTGGGTTCAATAATGTATACTGCATTGAAACAGATGAGGGAGAAAACTGTTGGATTAGGTATTTTTGTCATGATGGGAGCCCAGAGTGAAGGCTTGCATAGTGGAGTGAACCTGGGGAGAGGGATTGTAAAACAATGAAAAAAATTTTCTGTTACTTTTTCAAGAGGGTAATGTACTGGGAGGGAGGGTTTGGAGGGGAGAAAAGTGCAACAATGAATGAATGGAAATCCAAAGTCTGCAAATTTTCATTGAAATAATAAATTTTTTTAAAAAGATTACATGTCCACAGCAACCACAAGTTACCTCAGTACATCAATCTGGTAGACTTGGCAATATATAATAACAATAACTACAGAGAATTGATGCCTTTTTATTGTGATGTTGGGGAAGAGTACTGAATATACTATGGATAGAAAAAAAAATTTATAGGAAGTGCAGTTATGGTGCTCTTTGGAGGCAGGGATGGTGAGGCTTCGTCTCACAGACTTTGGACATTTTGTCAGGAGGGGCCTGTCCTTGGAAAAATATATCATGCTGGGAAAGGTGGAGGGTCAGGATAAGAAAGGAAGACCCTCAACACAATGGACTGATACAGTGATTGTAACAATGGAGCCAAATATGCTGGAAATCATATAGACGGTACTACACAGAGCAGGGTTTAGATCTGTTGTTCACATGGTTGCGATAAGCCTTAGTTGATTCAAAAGGTGCCTAAGAGTAATAACAGCGGGATTGTTGGATCAAATGGTATTGCTAATCCTAACTTTTTATGGAAATGTCAAACTACTTCTCTAGTGCCTTGGTAATTGTGCCATTCTACATTCCCATCAACAATATTTACTCACATCCTACATGAGCCCACCTCATTAGTATGTGACTATAGTTAGTATTCTGACTGTGCTCCAGCCAGAGCACATTTTGCCCAGGCGTTCCAATGGTAACCCAGTGTATCCTAAATCTATTTAAAGGCAGCACAATTTGGTTTCAATGTGGGCGGTTAAAAGGGATTTATAAATAAAAATATAAATTTTTTTAAAAAAAGATTACATGTTGTTGTTGCTATGTGCTGGTGAGTCAGAGCTGATTCATAGCTGACACTCTCCAATGGGTTTTCAGAGGCAATAAATTGCATGGGAAGTCATTGCCTATCTTTCCTGCCACAGAACGGCTGGTGGATTCGAACCACTCGACTTCAAATTGGTGGTGCAGCTTCTTATCACTAGGCCACCAGAGTTCCCTATAGAGTACATAGAGGTATATAAATGAAAATGCAATGCCAGAGGCCTCAGGTCCCAGATAAGGTAAGATCTTCAGCTCCTCTCCCCTCAGCAATGTGAGGGGACTGATCCTTGTGAGGAGGGTCTGAGTTCTTTAGCTTTTCATCCTTTCACAGTGCTCTTATCTCATTTATGTTCAATGGAAATACCATTAACAAGACTTGTTCAAGGACTCGCTCACATTAACACAGTATTTATAGACAGGAGATTAGGGAATTTCCCCACCCAACATCCTGGTACTGTTGTTGTGTGGACCAACCAGTAACTGACCCTCAGGCAGGTTTTCAGAGACAGTAAATCGCAGGGGAGACTGCTCATCCTGTGGAGCAGATGACAGACTTAAACCACATGCCTTTGGGATTGCTGTGCAGCTTCTTCTCACGGCCACTGAGTCAGAAATAGACTCATAGTTGACACTACAGGAGGTTTTTGGAGGCTGTAAACTGTACATCAGGAGAATGCCCATCTTTCACCCAAGGAGCTGCTGGCAGATTTCAATCCTCAAGGGGTGTCACTTTTGGGTTAGCAACACAATTCCTTATGGACTATGGCACCAGAGGTCATTGACTCTCTCCAAAATCCTAAAGAGCAATGAAGTCTGTTTGATGACTAAGGTATGCTTGATCCAAGCCTTTACAATTGCTTCCTATACATCTAAAAATTGGACAGTGAATAAGGAAGGACTAAAGACGAAGAATCAATGCCTTTGAGTTTTGGTGCTGGAAAAAAGTACTGAATATCCCATGAACTGCCAAAAGAACAACAAGTAAGTCTGTTTTAGAGGAAGAACTACGGGCATGATCCTTAGAGGCAAAGATGGTAGAACATCATCTCATATACTTTGGACTAGTCTTTGGGGAAACAAGCCATGCTTGGAAAAGTGGAGGGTCAGCAAAAGAGAGGAAGACCCTCAACAAGAGGGATCGTCACAGTGACTGCAACAACGGGCTGTGGCATGTCAGGGATGGTAAGGATGGCGCAGGGCAGGGTCTGGGTCCACTGATCATAGGGTTGCTATGAGTGCAGTAAACTGGACAGCACCTAATAACAGTAATAACAACAACAATCCCCCCATTTAGGCCAATCCCAGATGAATCCCTCCTCTTCATGAATAACTATGATGATCTTTTCCATTTGTTAGATTAACTCTTAAAACTCCATCCTTTTCCATAGCACGGTATCTTCCCCTACTCAGTCTTTTTTAAAAAATCACTTCTACTCCCTCCTGTGTTTGGTAAGACTCGCTTGTGTTGCTCTGTTCCCTCCATGTCTTCCTGTTCTCCAATGATTAGAAATTTCTTTTCCTAATAAATTCTCTACTTGCATGTTAAGTTTGTTCCTTTAATAATTATTCTTATCTAGAATCTATACCCTTATTTACATATACTTATGTAATTGCACACATCCTGTTTCAAACATTCGTCTCTTAAAACAACAAATGGTGTTAATGTAACAAATAGTGCTTTCCATTAAACAACCTTAATATTTCTGTTCCATGTTTAGCCAAGGCTGAAGAGTTTGCTTTTCTAAATAAAAATCTATTACCATTGAGTTGGAACTGACTCATGGCTGACCTTCCAGCTGATTTTTTTGTTTATTTTTCTAGCTGGTTTTTAGAGGCTATAAATCACACAGGAGATTGGCCACCTTTCTCTCAAGGAGTTACTGGTGGATTTTAACCACCAGAGAAATTAGCAGCACAACTCCCCACAGACTAGGCCACCAGAGCTCCAAGCTTTTCTGAACAGCAAGCCATAACAACAAGAACTATATTTGGAAGATTGGAAAACTCATCTCATGATTGATTATGGTATGGGAAGGCCTTTGGAATCAGTCTTTGAGACTACAAATACTCCGAGATTGGTTTACCTTGAACACACTGGGAACTTGAAGCTTCGGTGATGGAACTCCAATCAAAAAATCAATAATCACCATTGTGAAGATGGTAAGGAAAACAGCAAAGTCGCTCACCATGGAGCGCACCTGGCATAAGAGAAAAATTGAAAAGTGTTTTGGTTAAAAAAGGCAGAAGAAAAGACTGCAAGGTTAATAGGTTTTCAAAATCCTGAGGAGAATGTTTTGATTGTATAGTTGAGTTAATGTAAGCTCATTAAACAAGAATTTATTCATATATACAAATCAATGAAAGTGTAGCTATAATAGAATAAATTGTGTGCTCTGATAAACACTTCTGTAACTCATAGCTAAATGCAGAGCCTCTGAAGAGTTCCATTTGAGCATTTAGGTCTAACTTTAGGCTTTAGTCCTAGTAACTTGGGAAAAGGATTCTTGGACCAGTGATGATTCAATTGGACCAGAGAAGAACCCTGGCATTGCAACCAATGAATAAGATAGAAAACTAACTTTCTATAATAATCTATAGTAATGTGAAGCCACTATTGTATACCATAGGCAAAAAGAACTTTCTCTCAACCCAGCAGTAATGTCATTAACCTTCTTATCAAGTTAACACTCCTTTGTTGGCATTGTTCTTGTTAAATTCCATGAAGTAAACCACAATTCATAGCAACTCTATGAACAACAGATCAAAGCTTTGGCTGATCCTGTGCCGTCCCCACGATCTCCACCAAGCTCAAGCCTGTTGTAGCAGTCACTGTGGCAATCAACTTGTTTAGGATCTTGTATTCTTTCACTAATTCTATATTTTCCCAAAATGATGTCTTCATCCAAAAACTGGTCCCTCCTGGCAACGTGATCAAACAATATGAGATGAAGTTTCATCATTCTTGCCTCCACGTAGCACCTGGATTATACTTACTCCAAGATAGAGTGTTGGGGTTGGGTTTTTGTTGTTTTTTTTTTCCTTTGGCAGTCCCCATGCATGAGATATTCAATATGCTTTGCCAATATAATTTTTCAAGGCATCAATTCTTCTTTGGTCTTTTTTATTCACTGTTCAACTTTTATATGCATATTTAGCAAATGACAATCCTATGGCTTGGGACAGGTGCACCTTAGTCTTTAAAATGATAGTCCTGCACTTTAGCACTTTAAAGAGGTTCTTTGTTGTTGTTATGTGCTGTTGAGTCACTTGCAACTCACAGCGACACTATGTACAAAAGCCCTAAATCCTGCTCTATCCTGTGTCAACCTCACTGTCTCTGACACACTTACTCCCATCACCCCAATCACTGATTCAATTCATTTCATCAAGGTTCTTCCTCTCCTTGCACTGTCCCTCCACTCTCCCAAACATGATGTCCCTCTCCAAGGACTGGTCCCTCCTTGCAACATGTCCAAAGTATGTCACACGAAGTTTCAGAATCCTTGCCTCTAAGGAGCAGCCCGGTTTCACCCTTTCCAGAACAAACCTGTTTGTTCTCCTGGCAGTCCATGGTATAGTCAACACTCTTCTCCTGCACCACAGCTCAAAGGCATCAATTCTCTACCATTCCTAGTCACTGTCCAACTCTCTGATGCATAGCACAGAAATGTGAAGACTAGAGCCTGCAAAAGGTGCACCTTAGTCTCCAGCCTGATGTCGTTGCTCTTCAGTACTGTGGAGAGGTCGCTGACAGCTGACTTGCCCAATGCAATTCATCTCTTGATTTCCTGGCTGCTGGTACCAAGAATTTAGATTGTGGAGCCAAGCAAACTAAAACTGTTAACTCTCTCAATCTCTTCACCATCCATACTGATGCTGCCAACTGGTCCAGTGGTGAGAATCTTTGTTTTCTTGATGTTGAGCTTCAATCCATATTGAAGGCTGCCGTCCTTGACCTTCTGCAGCAAGAACTTCAGGTCCTCCTCAGTTTCAGCAAGCATGGTTGTGTCATCTGCATCATGCAGGATGTTGATAGATCTTCCACCAATACTGACGCCACATTCCTCCTTGTATAACCCAGCATCCCAGATGATCTGTTCATACAGATTGAAAAGGTATAGAGACAGAATACATCTCTGGCGGACCCCCGCACCACCACCCAATTTTGAACCATGCAGTCTCTCCTTGCTCTGTTCTGATGACTGCCTCTTGGTCCAAGTATAGGTTTTGCATAAGCACAAGCAAATGTTCTGGGATTCCCATTCTTCTCCGAGTCAGCCATAGCTTGTTGTGATCCACACAAATGCTTCATTGTCAATGAAGCACAGATAGACAGGTCCTTACAGAAGATTTTTCCAATGCAACACATCTTTTGATTTCTTAACTGCTACTGCTATGGATGCTGATTGCTGATTCAAGTAAAACAAAAGTGTTAACAACTTCAATCTTTTCTCCAACTATCATGATATTGCCTGTTGGTCCAGTGGTGAGGATTTCTGTTGTCTTGATGATGAGGTTGTATCCATAATGAAGGCTTTAGTCTCTATCTTCTTTAATGTTTAAAGTCTTCTTAACTTTCTATAAATAAGGTTGTGTCACCTGCATAATGCAAGTTTGTTGATGAGTCTTCCTCCAATCCTGATATTTGTTCAGCACACAGACTGAATAGAAATGAAGGAGGGATACAAACTTGATGCACACTTTTTCTGAATTTTAAGTCATGCTGTATTCTTTTGTGCTGTTCAAATGACCTCTTCTTGGTCTCTTGTACATGTTTCACATGAGTACAATTAAGAATCACCATTCTTCTTGATGTTATCCATATGAACTATATAGTTAAATGCTGTTGTATAGTCAAGGAAACATTTTTCTGGTATTCTCTGTTTCCAGTCTAGATTCAATGCTAACTTTATGTTGTTATGTGCCATCATGTTGACCCTCCAGAGAGTTTTTAGAGGCTATAAATCATGAGAAGGATATGGTCCATCTTTCTTCCACAGAGCAGCTAATAAATCTGAACTGTGCCTTTCAGGTAGCAGTGAAACTCCTTATCATTAGGTCACAAATGTCTTTAATGTTAACTTAGTAACCAGTTAAATACTTGGATACCATGAACACTTGTATTCATTAAGAAAGAAATTTTTAAGAATCTGTAAAATCTCAGAATCAGTTCTTCAATTACTTTCTGTAAAGACACTCATTCCAATTGTAATTTAATTTTACATTCTAATTTAATTTTATAATTATATTATGAAACTCTGGAACATCATATTAATTGAGGACATTTGAGATTTATTTTTAACAATTATAACTAGCCTACTTCGAGTAATTTGGTTTTAGAAATGAAATTATCTCCCTTCATGGATATAGAATGACTGCTCAGGATGCACCTTAAATTTCAATTTCTTACCATTTTGATTGTTTTTTAACATCAGCATTTTATTAGGGATTCCCATGTGATTTAAGACTTGCTTTCAGAGGACTGTTCCAGTTACAGTTTAATCTCTCTCTCTCAATGCCATCAAGTCAGTTCGAACCCGCCTGCAGGTTTCCAAGATTGTAAATCACACAATAGGAGGAGACCAGACATCTTTCTTCTATAGAGCAGCTAGTGCATTCGAACCTTTGGATTAGCAGAGCAACTCTTTGCAGACTATGCCACCAGGATTCTCTATATGCTATTGTTACAAACCATGGAGTTGACTACAACTCTTTGCAAGCCTATGAACACTAGATTGAAACCTTCCCCTATCCTGTGCCATCTGTGGGATCTCTGACATGCTTGAGCTAACTGTTCCAGTCACTGTGCCAATCCATCTTGTTGGTCTTCCTTTCTTTCTCTGAACCACCACCTGCTCTAACATAGTTTACTATTGCTTTACTAAGTGTCTTGTCTAACAAATGCCCAGTGTGTTCTCTAATCAGAGATAGAAGAAAATATACCCAGCTCTACAAAGTATCACTAGTTCCTTGACTTTCCTTTGAAACTTGATGTTTCCAGCTCCCCTTCCACGTTTTAGTAGTTCTCCAGTAGCATTTCTCTTTTCTGAACTCCTTGAACATTTTTCTCTCAGTTTGGTTAACTATATACTACTCTCTCATGTAAAAGCTTGGTTTCTTACACTTTTAGCATGTTGCTAGGAGAGGCTAATCCTTGGAAAGGACTTCATGCATGCAAAGATGGAGGGTCAGCAATAGAGAGGAAGACCTCCAATGAGATGGGTAGACTCAGTGACTACGGCAATGGGCTCAGTGTGTCAGAGATGATGAGGATGCACAGGATAGGACAGAGTTCAGGTCTGTAGTCAAGGGTTGCTATGAGTCATATTGGACTTGACATCTTACAACAATGTGTAGCATTGATGGAGCTCTGCTGGCTTTGTTTGTAAGGAATTACACTGCCAATTCAAAGATAGGTGGTTTGAATCTACCAAGTGATCCACAGGAGAAAGATGGGCAATTTCTTCGCACACAATTCACAGTCTGAACTACTGAAAGTTCAGCTTTGAGTCAGCTCTGACTTGAAAGCACATAACAACATATAGCATCTAATTGTTTCATGTGTCTTCCCTTTTTAGTGGTGGCAGATATCAGGTTCTAAACTACATTTGCCTTACACTTCCTCCATGGCACTTAACCAAGGCCTGGGCAAGTAATGGCCACTTGGGCTCAGTGAGGACTAAGCAAGTGTCATATATGTTTTATAGTATATATCTGATCAACTCACCTATCCACACACATCCTTCTGTGAATGTACCCAAATGAGGCCTTGTTGTTGTTATGTGACATTGAGTCAACTACAACTCATAGTGACCCTATGCACAATAGCTCTGAACTCTGTTCTATCCTGAGCCAATGTGACTGCCTCTGATACACTACTCCCATTTCCCTAGTTTACCGTGTCAATCCATCTCAACTGGGGTCTTCCTCTCTTGCTCTGTTCCTCTGCCCTTCCAAGCATGATGTCCCTCTGTAAGGCCTGGTTCCTTCTGACAACATGCCCAAAATATGTGAGATGGAGCCTCAAAATTCTTGCCTCCAAGAAGCAACTTGGTTTCACCCTCTTCAGGACAGACTTGTTAGTTCTCTTTGCAGTCCATGGTATGTTCAATATTCTTCTCCAGCACCACAGCTCAAAGGCATCAATTCTTCTGTCATCTTTAGTCACTGTTTAGCTCTCTGATGCATAGCAAGTAACTGTGAAAATCATGGCCTGGATCAGGCACACCTTACCCTCTAGATTGACACTGTTGCTTTTCAGCGCCCTGGAGAGGTCCCTGACAGCAGATTTTCCTAAAGTAATTCACCTTTTGATTTCCTGACTGTGAGCAAGCTGTAATTATTAACAATCTCAATCTTTTATCCATCTATCATGGTGTTGCCAAATGAACCAGTGCTGAGAATCTTTGTTTTCTTGATGCTGAGCTTTAGTCCATATTGTTTTAGGCTTTCCTTAGTTGAACCAAGCAAGGTGTGTCATCTGCATAACGCAGGTTATTGGTGAGTCTTCCTCCAATCCTGATGCCACATTCCTCCCTCATAGAACCCAGCCCCCTGAAAGATATGTTCTGAACATAGATAGAAAAGATATTTATGAGGATCCAAGGTGAGGAGCAGAGGGGTGGGGGGGTGGGAATTAATCATAGGGTCTCAGAATTTGATGGGGGGAGAGGAAGGAAATGAGAAAGATCCAATGTGAAAAATAATGTATACAAACTTTGTAAATAAACCAGTATAAAATAAAATTTAAAAAATAAAAAGAAATGATATGGAGACAGAATACATCCTTGACACATCTTTCCTGATTTTGAACCATGTAGTATTTCCTTGTGTTTTTCTGACAACTGTCCCCTGGGCCCAAGGAAAGGTTTTACATCAGTACAATCAGGTGTTTTATTTGAAAACATTTTTTTCTTCCTGATTTTGGCTACTTTTTAAAAGGTTGATCTCTGAATCACCTCACATTTAGCCTCTAATTTTGCTCTGCCAGAACCAGCAGAAACCCTGATCACCATACAACATCATCTGCATCAGAGAAAGGATGTTGAGGCTTCAAGCAGTTGTGCAAAATAAATCAGGATCATGCTGGCTGCTCCTGTCAATGTGACTAGTGAGTTTAAAGTACTGCAACAGTTATCTCTGAGGGAAGACTCTGAGGTCCTCCTATAGTATCTTAACATTATCACCCTAGTTGACTATGCTCCAGGGTCAGCTCTAGCTACTGTATGATAAGTGTGCCACCTTTCTGGAAATGAAATTTAATAGTATTCTGGAAGTGAGAGTTAATCACTTTTAGAAAATACTATTGCCTTAAACTCAACAACATTTAAACCAAAAGGTGATTAATTTTATAAAACACAATGTGTGGGAATGATTATATTAAATACAACATCAAAGAAGGAAAGTGGGGGGGGGGAATCTGCATAAAAATAAACTTATTAAAAAAAGGAAATAAAGGAAAAGGTGATGGTTGAACAACATGATTAACATAATTATTGTCATTGATTTGTACATGTGAAAACTACTGAAATGTCAAATATTTTGTTACATATATATTTACCACGATATTTTTTTAAAAGTAAAGCATGAACCCTTGAATAAGTATCATGCTCCTAAATTGCAGGGGAGGGGAGGAGGGTGGCAGTGAGCTCTGTGTGTGTAAGTATTAGCTCCTTGTTCCAAACCACACATCTATGACAGGGATTGACAAATGCTAGAAGAGAAAGCCATCCTGTGGCTCATTAGGACATGTAGAGTTCTCTAACCAGCAAGAAAACAGCATGAAAGGCTCTATTATTTTAGAATTTTAACACAGAAGAAGCTAATGCCTAGCCAGCACTCTCTGATAAATATGTGGATTTGGGTTAGTTATTCATGACCAGCTACCTACTCTGGTTGGGAAATAGCGGCTTGTTTTGAATGTCTTCAAGGTGCTGGAGAGGATAAAGGTAGTGAAAAAGAGAATGCAGGACCAAAAGAGTACATCAGGGGTGTAGGGTCCGTGCTGGCCACATGCAGTTCCCATGAACTCTCCATGCATCTCCTGGCATTCCTGGAGGAACAGACATTTTGAATGATTAAGGACAAGTACAGGAAATAAACAGTTGCTGTCTTCTGACACCACTGTCCACCATCATCCTATAGTTGCTGGGGAATGCAGGCTGTCAGTAGAACTGCAGGCTCCCTGCAATGTGGGACTCTCACTTGAACAGGCTCATTCCATGTATGGTGATCATTTATGGTTCTAATTAAGACACTTTTGATAATAAAACCAGAATTTTCTGGAGGAAATGCTATTTCCCAGGTTCTGAAAGGGCCCTAAAATTTTTGTAATATTTTTATTAAAGAAATTTCAAACTTAAATATTCTTCTAGTGCCACAAAAAAAATTCCTGCTTTCTGCCTGCAAGGTTTCATGCCCATGTATAGTTAGCGCAGGGCCACTGGGTAAGGTGTGTAAGACAGCTAAGAGATAGGTTATTTTCCTTTCCCTTTCTATACAAGATAATTTACTAATGGCAAAAGAAAGCCTGTTAAAATTATCAAAAGCAAACAAACTTTATTTCTGAAAACACCAGGGCTTGTCAAAGAATTACCCGACTTTTTCTATATAGAAGTTCTTAGGCCCAGTAGTCACAATGGTAGGGTATCTGGTAGCTTCCAGACTTACACGAACAGTCAGGTTGGCCCAGTTTATCTGCGTTGCCACGATGTCATGGTCCTTCCAGAACTGTAGAGTGTGATTGTTTGGATTCTCTGGGGGGGTACATCTACAGCTGAAGGAAATAAAAAAAACAACCCTTGAAAGCAATTAAATAGTAAATGATGTTATCTATGACTGGGTTAAAAACTGTGGGAGTTTGGGTTATTTCTCCTGCTTTTGCCCACTTGAGATCCCTGAGATTGCTATGGGTGGAGGTCCATCCACAAATCCAAACACACTCTGTTTACTAGTCTGCCGTAACTAATAGGAGGAAATCAGTGAAAGAAAAGACAGAGTAATGATAGGCAAGGCCCAATGATGATTTTATAATACAATGATTTTCTAAAACACAATGCATGAGAATGACTATATGAAACACAATGTGAATTAAGAATAGTATGAAACACCATGTATATGAACTTTTCAAGCTAACCAATTTTTTTTTTAAAGCCAACAAACACCCCCACACACAATGTATGGAAATGATAATGTGAAACACAGTGTGAATGGAGGAATGCATGAAACAGAAGGTATGTAACTAAGGACAATGTATAGACTTCTGAATGCAAACCAATACAATTTTTTTTTAAAAAAAAAGCAATAGGGAAAGCCTTAAAATTGTACATTTTAGGTTTAAGAAATTATTTCCATACATAAAATTATTCAACTGCTGGGGAAATTCTAGCTTCACATCAGCACTATATGAATTAACATAAACTGCAATATGAAAAACATCAACTTGAGCTTAGTCACAAGATGAGTAATTTGAATCCACCATCTATTTCTGGGGTGAGGGTGGGGAAATGGGCAATCTCCTCTCTCGCAATTTACAGCCTCTGAAAATCCTCTGGAAGGTTAGCAATGAGTCGGTTGCAATTCAGTGGCAATGAGCTTTTGAGATCCACATCCAAAGTCTATTCATTCCAAGGTTAATAATTTTCCTGTTTTCTCTCTCTAAAATAATAACTTCTGGCAAGCTCTGGTGGCCTAATGGCAAGAAGCTGCAACTGCAATCTCAGAGATGTGTGGTTTGAATCCACCAGATGCTCTGCTGGAGAAGGAGGAACAATTTCCTCCTGTACCAGTCAGATCTGATTTGACGGTACACACACACACACACACACACACACAAATAACGAAATAAACGAAATTTTAAAAAAATAAAATTAAAATAATAGCTTCTTGAGGACAGATCCTCTGTCATTTTTACCACTACAGTACTTGGTACATAATAAATGCTTAATAAATACTTGTTTAATTATTTCATTTTAATGAATGGTGAAAAGAAATCAAAGAATAAACTTTACAGAATTCAGGATTCCAATATGGATTAGTTAACCATGGGGCTTTGAAATTATAATTCCTAATGGTTTTTCAGTATAGTAATATAATTTTTTATATTTTCATTTCCCCCATTAAGCCTGGTTTTGAAAAGCTTAATGGATGAATAACCAGAACAATCAACAGCGTATTTGTGGATGATTGACAGATGCCTCCAGGGTGTGTGTTCTCCCCTCCTAGGCAGTTTCAGTTTTAAATTACTCACTTCCCACCCAGATCCTCTACATTAGAACTGTACAGCAGAAGAGAGGGAACTTTGTGTTCAGAGCTAACAGAAGAAGGCCTTTAGTCATAATTTGGAGACTATTACTTCAGAGGAGAAATAATTTATAGGACCAGATGCTAGTAGATAATTAAAAAGCATACCAGATATTGGATTTTCCTTCTCATCTACTTCAAATTATATTGAACACACAGAGAAAAACCAAATACTTAGAATTGAAATGTAGGTTAGTAAGTAATTTTCTAGCTATGAGCCCTCTGGATCTATAAGGAATTATTAATAATACAGAGCTGCCTCCAGAATATATATTTTCAGGATAACAGAGTCCATTCAGTCACTTGAGAATATGGTCCAAGGTCTTAGAAGTTCTCCTAATTACAAACTCAAATTCTCCCTGTTACACTTGCAACTACTTTTGTTTCAATGCCTGCAGCCAAGAGATGCTCTGGAAAACATTTCTTGAGTTTTGAGTTCTACTCTTTTAAAAAAAAACCTTTATTTTGGTTTGCATATAAAATTCATATACATTGTGTGTCACACATTCCTTAATCTGAGTTTCACTCTTTATCCTTAGCTTCATGAATTTTGATAGTTCTCTTCTGTCAAGCCTCCATGTCTCCTCATCCCTTTTTGAATTCTGTTACGTAGTTGTTGTTGTTGTTGTTAAATGCCGTCGAGTTGTAGATGATTCATAGCGACTCTATGAACAAAAACCCTGAACACTTGTATAACTTCCATCATTTCTCCATGTTCATAGAGTTTCCAGAGACAAGCTACTTTGGAAGTGGATGCCACTGCTTCCAATCTGTTACCTAGAGGACTAATAATTTAACAGAAGCCACAAACACTTCCTGATATATTAGATCAACAATTAATCTCAGGCCCTTTGGTATTTAAAAACACAAAACCCAAAAAAAGCCCTTAAACACAAGCAGAAAGCATACTTACTAATAGAGGCTAAGCTGGTCCAGCTGGCTGTGCCTATGGATGGGGAAGGACTCTGCCAGGTGAATCAACTTCTCTATGGCTTCATAGATGAAAATAATGCAAATCAGGGAGGCAAATGCTTCTTCAGTGAAGCGGGTAATGTAACAGACAAGAGAACTGGCATCAGTTGCCACAAGGACAATACATAAGAAGGCGGTCCACAGTCCAATGCAAGCTCTCAAGGAGAGGTATGAGAGAGCATAGTCTCTGAAACAAAACCAAAGTTCATAAACAAGGATGGGTGGGTGGAATTAAGGGACAAAAAGGATCAAAAGGGTGGCTATTTCATCCTATAATATCTGTAACTGACATAACCCAGTTTATCACCAATTCCAACAGTATTTCACTCCTAAATGCTGTGATAAAGATCTGCTTCATTTGTGGCATTTGCCTAAGCAAAAAGAAATGTTGCCCTGCACAACATTTCTGCCATTACTGCCTAATGTAGTTCAGACATCACACATGTTCCTTCTTCAAATAGAAAGTGAGTAAAAGATATTACAAAGAAAGGCAAGGAAATAGGGACATGGAAAAGCTGCCACCACAACTTGAGGATATCATACCAAATTTAGGGAGCTCTGGTGCTGAAATCTCAAAGACAAGCAGTTGTAATCTACCAGCTATTCCACAGAAGGATGGGCAATGTCCTCCCATGCTCTAAAAACCCACTGGAGGATCAGCTATAGATTGGTTCCAATTTGATGATACACAACAATAATACCAAATTAAAACTGACTTGAAATGAGCACAGAAACATCTGAATTAGCTAAGGAAAATGCTTTAAAGATAAGAAGTTCGGACTTCAACAATGGCTAAGGGACATTCATTCACAAAGCACTTTAACAAAGCTGTTTAACCAAAGGAGATCTCGTTCTTTAAATAAGTTACTACTGATGTTTTTCTTTCAATTTTTTTTACAGTACAGAATGCTATTTGCCTACATTTACTTGCCTAAGACCTTGGCTTTTAGCCTGGCAACACACTAACCACCATCCAGTGAGGGTTTTTGAGTCGGGGGAGGGGGAAAGACTTACTTGCAAAATTTAAACAAAATTTTTTCAAACACAAGCACTGGCCCAGTACTGCCCAAGATAGTGAGAGCTTGCCCTGCAAACAAAGAATAAGCAATCCCAGTCATGGAGGCTCCAAACAAGGATTCAATTGCACTCTGAAAAGAAAAAAAAAAATCACCACTGAGCCCATAGTCCATCAGTAAAGAGTAATACTGGCTTATGTACATCCCTAACTTAACTTTCATGTGTGCCTTAACAGTCATTTGCTTGTATTTCATCTGAGCAAGAGTGATGTGTACATATTGTCTAATACTCCTATAAACAGATACTACCTTCAATAATTTAAGAGCCCAAATCCATTTGCATACCCTTCTATAAGTAAATTGTGTTCTGAAGTAATTTAATGAAAAGATACATATAGAAACCACAATAATACTGTTTATGCTGTAAATTGTTATACAGTTGTCTGAAACCTTACTTTCAAACTACACCAATATATCCATTCCTAATCCTAGGGGGATTGAGAAATTCTTCTGTGCAATCAGCTACTTAAACTGATACTTAAGGAGAAGAGAGTCCGTTCAATAGGGAGAACTGTGTTGCTGATTAGTATACAGTTGGAAGACTGTGGTAATTTAGTTGAAAGAGTACATTCTCCTTCATCCTAGCACCCAGAACCTTCCCTTTAATGGCTTTGGAGGCCACCATAATATTATAAGTCTTCTTTGGAATAATTAGAAGTGTTTAAAAGTTCTTACTATGCGTCCCTCAGTGGCTTCTCCAAGCAATCCCCCAAAGGTGATTACAGGTGACATGCAGGCACAGTACAGGAACAGAAAGGAGGCCAAACACTGCAAGCTGAGTGCATCCCGGTAGTCACTCCAGTACCAGGGGGCCTTCCGCTTGATGTCCAGCACCAAGCCCCCAAACAACCTGCAGAAACATAGCAGACAGGGCTTTCTTTACAAAAGCATATGAACAATACACATTTTAAAATGTGCCCTATACTGGGTGATACTTTGATTTTAATTTGGCACCAAATAGAGGCTATCTCGCTGGGGTCAGCAATATTTGCAACCAAGGACATAACTTACTATAAATTTAAATTCTTATATCAAGTATTAAAAATATTAGTCTAGGTATACATATTAGCCATTCAATAAAAAGTTTAAAAATTTAACATGAATAGCAAGCATTAGCTTTAATTTTCAAATCTAAAACTGTTAGGAGGAAATGTGCAAAACCAATCTAATGTATTTAAGTTGTTAGTTTTAGTATATGTTTTCTAAATAAAAAAATCATCATTACATGCACTTTCCTACTTTACTCTTAAGAAGTTAGGATCATAACTAATTAATGCAGTTGACAAGTACTATTAGCAGGTCTTTTGTACCAGGCAATGTGCCAAATACTGGAGAGCAGCAATTAACCAGACAGACATAACCCTTGCTCTCCAGGACCAATTTCTAGGGCAGGATATAGGTAGTGAAGGTGATATGATAATGCAGAATGGGGGAACACTGCAGCTGAGACATGAAGAGGCACCAGGAATTGTTAGCTAGATGAAGGAAAGTTAGCTAGCATGAATGAAACCTGTAAGTGAGAGCACATGGAGGGTTTGAGGTGCTGAAAGACTAATATATTTTAATAACTAACTCTCTCTTTAAATACAAATAGGCAAGGATGGAGAAACTGAGCTTAAAAAGGCGTATGAACAACATTTTTAAAGGAATTAGAACTTTATTCCAGTGACATGTCAAATCATAGATTGTAAACATGAGAGTGACATGACAGAACATATATTCTTGAAAAGTCACTTTTGATGGCAATGTATCCAATGGAGCAAGGGAAGCAAGAGTCAGTGGGTTGGAGATGAGGAGAAGTAAATGGATTCAAGTTCTATGCATAAGGTAGATTAGCAGGACTTGATGGCAGGATTTAAGGACCCTTCACTGCTTCCTAAGAATGAGATAATATTTAGAATAAGATACTGCACACCAAAGAAAAGGAATAGATTTCCCCAAATTAGTCCACTTTTGCTTAGAGTAACTGTACCAGGGTCAAAGTTGTCAGATGACCAGGTCAGTAATGAAAGAGGCACTCAACATTCTAAATGACGATCTGGTTCCTTCTACCACTCAATGGCTAGAGAAAAAGTAAGGAGGATTGTTACAGGATAAGATTGGCATATATATAAATATATTATGCCCCCCCCAGATAGGTGTCAACTTGGCTGAGCCAGATTCCTACTCGGAGTTATATAATAATGCAATCATTCCCCATAACATGAGTAGTCAATCAGTTGCAAAGGGTTGGTTCACAGCCCTGATTTGATAGAAGGGAAATTTCCCTGAGTGTGGCTTTTACAAGAGATAAAAGGACAGAGAAACAAGCAGAAGAGAGACATAATGACCACTAAGGAAAAAGAGCAGCGGCAGAGTATGTCCTTTTGACCCAGTGTCCCTGTACTGAAAACTTCCTAGGCCCAGGGGAAGAGTGATGCTAGAACATATATAGATTTACAAAGAATGCTGCCCCTATAAATACTGAAGAAAGATAAGGATCTTTCCCAACAGCTGATGGAGAGAGTGCACTTCCCTCTAGAGCTAGCACACTGAATTCAGATTTCCAGTCTCCTAAAATGTGAAATATAAACTTCTGTTTGTTGAAGCCATCTACTGTCAATACTTCTGTTACAGTAGCACTTGATAACTAAGACAGGACATAATAAACAGGTCTTGATTGTATCTTACACTGAATAAATTAAATAAAAAGAAATACTACTAAGAAAACAATGAGAAGTTTAATATGGACTGAGCACTTGACAATTTAAAGAATATTGCTAATTTTATTAGACTTGTTAATAAATAGCATGGTGAGTTTTAAAAAACACATTCTTATCAAATGGAGATACATACTCAAGTGTTTACAGGTACAGTGACATGACGGTAATGATTTGGTTTAAAATTAACCTAAAAGATATTAAAAGAAAATATATGAAACAAGATTGAGGAAATGCTAATAACCGAGTGCAGTTGAATTTATGATACTATCCTCTCTTTTTATATTTACAATTTTCTATAAATAAAAGAAAGAATTCATTTCTTTTTGGAAAAGAGTCAGTTCTTTCTTCTTCTCTGTGAAGGGGCCTAGAGGTGAACAGTTCAGCCTGGGACCCATTTATCTCAGGAATGAAGACCGAGGCAGCTTTCTTCCATTCAAATACTCTCTATCAGAGTAGCTCTGGTGGGGTCTGTAGTGAATTGTGCTGCTCACCCAGAGGCTACGAGTCTTTATCAGTGTGAATCCAATAGCAGCTTCAAGGGACAAACATAGACTGTCTCCTGTTATCACTGATATCCTCAGAAAACAAATGGAGGGTTGTTAATAGAACTGACTCAATGGCAGTGGGTAAATTAATGATCTAGCAGAGTACAGTGAATATACAGGTAAATAAAGGGCAGACACTGATTTCTCTTATCCATTTTCTTCAGGTTTTGGTGGGTGTAGTTGAGTCTCCAAGTATACAAGTGTTCAGGTCTTTCGTTCATAGGGTCTCTATGAATCATCTACAACTCGATGGCACTTAACAACAACAACACAGAGAGAGCTCTGTTGGCCTAGTGGAAAATTATGCTACTAAATCAAAGGTGGGTGATTTTAATCTGTGGCCCTCAGGCCTGGTTTTAATTGTTTAATGGCTTGCCTCCAGAAACTCTATGAACACGGAGAAATGAAAGTTATACAAGTGTTCAGGTCTTTCGTTCATAGGGTTGCTATGAGTCATCTATGACTAGATGGCACACAGAACAACAACAACAGTTGAAACTCAGTGCTCCTCAGTTCGGAGAAGTAACATCTACAATCTGGGTCTTGGGTAGGGGAAAAGAAGCAAAGTCAACCATGTGACCTGATTTACTTTCAGCCCATCTGCCAACCCCAGTTTTGCTATCCTAGATCTGCCTGAGTTCTGCCTTACAGTTTTGGGTCAAAGCTCCAGTTATAAATAATTATTCTGCCTTTCTTTCTGCTCTAGTAGCCCATAAAGGCTGTGGCAGGTAGCAGGAATGAGCCTGGAGCGAGATTCAAGTGGGGTGGGGGACACTCTTAGTCACCATACCTTCTTATTGTTATTGCTGACCTTCACACAGAAGGAGATTGCCCATCCTTGTCCCTCATTATCTTTTTTTTACCATATTAATATTATCTTTTTAAAAAAATTTAGCTTTTAATTTTATTTTTCATTCTGAATTGAGTGAAAGTTTACAAAAGACAATGACTTTTTTTTATCCAACCATTCATAGACATTTTGTTTTATAACATTAAATATCCACATAAACTTCCTCTGAAGGGCTTTTCTTTGGTGAAAGAATTTCTATAATAATTATTTTATGCCCCACTCTGCCCAAATGAGGCAAATGAAGATGTTGCCAAAATTAATCAGCTCCTAAACATAAGAAGCTTCTACTAAGAGAAGTGTCTACGAATTAGCACACCAAATATTTATATGAAATGAATTTATGAAATCCATAGCAATGGAGGACATTTGTGTGACTGAAGAAAAAAACTATTTGAGGCTCAATTAATGGTATAACCATAATAAATGAGTTCTGAATACTGTTTATGGTATGATCTTTATACCTCATTCAAGCATAAAATCTAACCATAATTACACGTCTGTCATAAATAGTAATCAAGCAGGGATTCTTCTTTTTTATTTGAGATCCCTTCTCTCTTTCTGGTGGCCTAGTGGTAAGAAGCCATGCTGTCAGCCCTGAAAGAAAGATCGTCAGTCTACTCCCCTGTAATTTAGTGCCTCTGAAAACCTGCTGGAATGTCAGGGATGAATTGGTCCTAGTTTGGCAGCAATAACAACTCGGTTTTAACATTGCCAGGCAGGAAATGATGAGGGGCAGAAAGTACATATCACATTAATTTAAGCTTGATTCAAGACCTACTATTATAGTCTCTAGGCTCTGGAGCGCTTAGGGTGCCCTTCACTGGAATGTTTTAGGGACGAACATGCCAGTCAATTAGCTGTCTCATGTGCTTTGGAAGAAACCTATTTAAAGTGTGTGGGGTTCATTGAGATAAACTAAAAAACTCACTGCCATCAAGTTGGAAGTGACTTACAGTTTGTCTATACAGTGGGTTTTCTGAGGCTATAAAATACACAGAGGAGACTGCCCATCTTTCTCCCTCAGAGCTTGTGGATTAGAA